CTTCGAAGTTGACCTCAGTGTGCAAAGGGCAGAAGTCCAATGCCAAAATATTTATAGTGAGCTTCCGGTACGTAAAGAATTGAAAGAAACCGACCGAAATTCAAATCAAACCTTAGTTTAACAATTTCAAAACAAAATTATCTTCATCCAAATAAACTTTACACAAGTACTTTTGAATCGTCTAAAACTTGTTTTCCTGTCACTCGTTCTGTCTTAATTTATATATTTATTATTTAGTGATATAGTTACAAGAGCTATGTCATATCGCTCACTGAATAGTACAGTGGCACAGGGGACTGTCACAGTCATTGAAGTTTAAACTTATAAACTATGTATTAGGAGCCACAAAACCGAACTTACGGTATTTTAGTTATTACATTTAATAAATTTTGCATTAACAATCATACTAACGTATTCTTGAATGTTTTGGCGACACAAGGTCTACATTAAAGTCTGGAAAACCTTTTTGGGGTGGTAAGCTTTAATTTGTGGTCCCTGGAAATATCATAAGTGGTCAGCGGAGTTTCATTAAAAAACAAAGAGTGCATCAAGCGTTTTCTCGATGAATTTAAAAAATAAGACTGATGAATAATACCCGAGACCTACCCCAATATCGCTTGCTACTAGATTTTGAGTCTACCCAAACGTAAGAAAGACAGCGTTAAAGAAAGGTCACGTCAGAAGTACCCTAAACAGTTGTTGAGTATGAAATTTATGCACGTGAAGGAAGCATTTTTCCATAACACCAGTATTCTAAACGAAAATAAATGTGATTTTTTTTATGGAAAAACAAATGTTTTATGCTCATTGTCACGTGACCGCAAACAGCTTGGGACGTCACGCTCCTCATACTCATATCAGACCTTAGAGAATTTAACCTTATGCATACATAGAACGATATTAGATTCAGAGGACCGTGACGTCATAGCGACGCCATGGCAGAAGTGGCGATTACGCGGGAGATTTTGAAAATTATAAATTTAATTTTCAAAAGTATAAATTTTTTTTTTAGAATTTATTTCATTGATGAATGATTTTTTTTTTAATTTAGTTTTTTTGTCATGTATATCTATAAATTAAAAATATAAAAAAAGTTGTCTACACCTCTGAAAATTTCCGAATTTATGAGGACAATATAGACCTTCAGGTGTCAAGTTGATTCGTACGAGTTATATACAAGTATGAGTAACATCGTGTAGTACTAAAATAAATAGATAGCAAAATCTCAAGATGCAGCTATTTTAATAAAGTTTTAGTTAGAAAATGGATCTCACATGTTTAATGGTTCAAAAAGAAACCATAATAGTACTAGAAATAACTTGGAAAAAAAAGCAACGATAAAGTGTGCTAATAAAAAAGTCTTGTCTGCGATGCTACCCTATGTCCTTCCGCTCTCGAGCGGGCAGAGAAAAAAGTACGAGTTTTATTTGTAAAACATTCGATTCACTTTGAACGTTCGATATTACCATTCGATAATTTTAAATTTGAATTGCAACGAGTGGCGTCAACCAGACCCTGAAATTGGATAGAATATACGTTATTATACCTTTGTTGCATACGTTACATAGACACTGCCAATGACATTGGAGAAATAAAATTCGAGAGATTACCTTGAAGTTTTATGTTACGAGTATTAGAAGAAAGTAACCAAATAATGAATAGAATACCTAAAGTTATTCATTATAGAAATTTTAAAACATTCTGAAATATCCAAGCGAATTTGTAAACCGATCGCGAATTTCCTGGACATAAAGACAGTTTACAAATTTACCCCCAATAAAAATAATTTAAGAACGAATTTCAATATTCCATGTTAGGGATTAAGTATATTCCATATTCAGTTTTCTCTACATTTAATTTAACACTACCAATTTTTTCTATTTTAAGGTAAAAATGTAAGTATTTATACGTAGTAGTAACTTTTGAGTTTTTAATGCATAGAACATTAAAAACTAAAAAAAAATTCATTGCTTTTACTACTTTTTCATTACATTATTGAATACTGAACAGCGCAAAACTGCAAAAAATAGAGTCATGAAACTTAATAGGCCATACAGACTCACGCCGATCCTTCTTGGCAGAAGAAGTATAAAGAATGAGAAGTTAAGAAGCATATCACATTCACGTGCCACGGGTGTTCTCGGCGTGAATCTGTCCGGCCTATAAAAGTCGAGGGTCACTTGTCATAGCGAGTGATTTGAAAATAGACTTTATTATTTAAAAAAAATAATCACACGGTAGCATTGACCTGCGCAAAACCAGTCCACAGCGTGTTTCATTCAGGTAACCCCTCGAGGTAGACGGCGCGACGACTCTTTGTCTTCTTATCATAATCGTTTTGCTGTAATAAAAATATACCTATTTGCGTTTATATTTGATCCAGATAAGCTGGTCATGTGGTCACAAACGCGCTTTATACACTTTTTGAAGACTAAGATCTAAAGCTTTAAAAATGGAACAGTATTTATTTATATCTGAAGGAATGTAATGTACTCATATTTTTTTTCTATTATTTATTGGATATATCGATTACAATTATAATTATTTATTAGATAACCGACTTTCGCGAGAGCCAATCATTGGAGGAGTGACCAAAAAATTATTATCTTTATTAAGGTATATCAGAGTTTCGAAAGGTATGTTGAGCCCAGCTACATTAATTGTGTATATTTTAAAAATTGATTTAGTAATAGCATATGATTTTTGTAAATGCCATTCTTCTGTTAGATGTGAGTTTTCTCGTTCTTTTTGTTAACCAAAAGATGTCCTGAAAGAATGATAGAAAGAAAAACTACGATTCAAAAGTAATTTTAATAGTCCATTTGAATAAAGATAATTAAAAAAAAAGCATTTCCCTGACTAAAAAAAAATGTAGTAAACTGCAAACTTTCATAGATGCGTTAAATCCCCTTTAAACTATTAGGAAAACCAAAAGAATGCTGAAAAATATATTAGCAAGTAACTGTCTTCGGAATAATTTTGTTCTTATCATCTGCTAATACTATCATTCCGTGGAAATGGATTGCCGTTATTGAACTTAACTTTTTTTAGATTTGAATTTAAAGAAAAGATAGAGCAATTATTAATTTCACAATATTTGTTATTATCAAATGATGTATACTTATACTAAGACCTCACAATTATGGAGGAGCCTGAGAATCAGGCTCCTCCCTAATTGTGAGGTCTTAGTATGAGATTCAGATTTAGTTTAACTTCATTTAGGCACAGATCCTACCTTATTGTAAAATTAAGTATAAAAACCTATGTGAATTTATGCGGTCTGATTTTCAGCTATAATGAGGCTATCAATAAACCCACATGATGTCAATCAAGAACAAGAAATCTCGCGTAGAATTTGATTGTTTCTTTGCATCGAATAAGCTTCGAATATACAGGACCGATTTTGAAAATTCTTTTACTTACGGGAAGCAACAATCTTAGATCAGCATGCATGTAGCAACTAGCAAACTCTAGCGTTAGTGTACACAATCAACAGTAAGAAACGACATAACAGGGATGAAAACTGGATAAAAAAAAATATATTTAGTTAGTCAGTCAGATAGTAGTAAAATATTAGATACGTATATTTTTTGCTTAAATTTAAACAAGAAATGACTTAGATAATACGAGTAGGCATTAAAGTTGAGGAATGAGGCTAGCTACGTCACTGTTTTGTAGAAGATGTACAAAAGCGTGACGTCATTTCAACTCTATCGTCGTAATTTATCTATTACGCAAAAAAATTATTTAAAAAAAAACTTAACTTTATATAAAAAAAAAAAAAAAAAAAAAACTTATTTCATTTTCTTCAATAATCTACCTGACGGACAAACAAATGAAAAATGTCGATCGATCGTGATTGCGTTCGAGAGTAAGCTGCTGATTAATCGAAAGCTACGTCATACGCGGGTGGCATAGGCTTTATTAACGCGGGCGAAGACCATAGGCTATATCAATAAATTCAAATTTTATTCAATTTTCCATTCACAATGCTATACTGGAAAATATTCACAATGAAATATGCGAAAAGTAACAAGTGCTTCAAAAGTTGAAGTTCTATTGGGGTGCTGGGCAGCTCAGTGTTTAGAGCAGTCACCTGGACTGCGAAAGGTCGTGGGTTCCTGGAGCTGGTGGATATTTTTAAGCGTTTTTTTACTAACAATAGGCTATATCATTAACTATATCACATTACGCGAGTGAAGTCGTGGGACAGCTTTAAAGATAAGTTGAAACACAGAAATAAATTCATGGAAATATTTCAGTCGAGTCAACACGCTGATCCATCTCTATGTCACGTCGGAATAGATTTATGCTAAACTATATATAATAGTTAATTATTTCATATTGTTTCATAACAAAAAGATAGTGTACCTAATGACGTAAATGTTTCACTATCATTCGATAAGTTAATGCCAGTAGCAAGTACTAAAATTAAATTATAACACTTAATAGTAACCATTGTTCATAATAAAATAAACTTTATTATAATTGTCACCCTTGAGGCTAAACTTATTTGTTTTTTATTTCTAACATTTAGCTAAATTAAAAGAGAACAGGAGTTATCAGAAAATTACTTATAAGGTCTATGGAGTCCCTAAAATAAACTCATACTTACAATAAATTAATTATAATACATACTGCTGCACCATAAGTCTGTCTTTGATTGATTTTGAACTCTAGAGCCAATCCATTAAAGTATAAAACGATGTAGAGATTTGAAATATGGCATTTTTGTAACACAACATGTTATTGATTTGTACAATCATTCAAAAATAAAGATAAATACGTTCATTAGGAATAATAGTAATTGTGATCGTTAAGAATACTGAGTATCTTGCCCAATTCATAGGTATTCTATGAATTTTGATGAGCGATTTTAATCTGTGAGGTTTCTGAAAAAATATATATCTGAATTCTAACTGTTAATCATTCAGTGTTTTGGATTCAGATAGTTCTAATAACCGCTTTAGTCATTGTCTGAAATGATTGAGTTGTTCACCTGATATTAAAGCAATGCGGCTGGTTACCTGCATGACAGTCTGCCCGCGACCGCGCGTACGTACGCACGCACCTGCAACGATATCGAACTATTTGAATTTCGAACTTACCGCATTCGAAAATGTAATTGTTCGAACTGTTTTCATAAATCAAACACGAACTCATATGTAATGTAATTAACAAGAAACTTACCAGTGTACTGTAAATATTGGTGTAAATAGATTTCTTTCGATTTTTAAAAGTGTTCTAAGTGTTTGTGTAAAATATTTTTTTATATAAAATCCTGTGATATTAGAATAAGGAATACAGTGACATCAAACCAGCAAGTGAGTATTGATATTAGATTCATTGTATTTTTATTCTGCTTTAATTATGTTTATTTATTTAAAAAAAAAAGAAATTTAGTTTTGTAGTAAAAAATCGCTTTATCTCGACGCACATAAATACGTTTTATAAATAGTCTTTTAATAAATTTTTGTGAAATATGTATTACTTCAGTTGTTTTCAGCTTACTCTATAATCTTGTTTACATGTGGTAAGTCTGACGTGTTGCTATATGTACACATGCATTAAATTTCGAATATTTTCGTTTTATTTTTATTCTTCGGCTTGTGTGCTGTTATAACTTTTTTTTTACAACAGTATTGTAACAATTGCAATTAAGTAGAGTACTTTAGTACCTACCTGGAATTTCGTCGGTCGGTCACTTAAGCGCTACGCTCGCTTCGCTCATTGTTTTGTAAATAACTAACCTAACATAATCTTTTTATACAAAGGGAACTTTAAGATAGCGCATAAATGTGAATAGAACACGAGAGGAAAGCTCGAGTCTTGGGACGAACACGTATTGTTATTCTTAATGAGAAATATTATTTTTATGAAAAAAAGAAACTACCTTCTATTAATGTACTTCAATCGTTTTCTGGAAAACCCTCTTCAGATAAAACTTTTATCAATCTTCAGATAAAACTTCAACACAAAAAACGTGATTTCGTCAAGAGTTTTAAAATTTACTATTTTTTGAAATTTACCTTATCATGAATATTTTATAAATTAACGTTTTGGTTGAGTTAGAGCCTGTCCTGCGTTTCGTTATACAATACGTGTTGTTAAGGAATAGTGTAGAAATTTGGTCATTTTATATTAACCTGATGTGTAGTTCGGTGATGTAGTGGATAAGCGCCGCTGTCCACGATCGTTGTTGTTGTTATTCAACTTTCGCAATGGGCGGTCAGAGGATGGGTGACCAAAAAATATTATCTCGAGCGTGTGCTTCGGAAGGCACGTTAAGCCGCTGATCCCGGCTGAAATTGCAGTGGAGGATCATGGCCAATCCTTAACCATCCATAAGAAAGGCATGAGCCCCTGCAGTGGGAATTATTGTCATTTGTGTATTTAAACAGTTTATTAATCGTCAGTGAATTATTGATAACAGCCGATGAAGAGATTTCTTTACGCTTTCTGGGGAATTTATTAAATCGAGACATATTTATAAATAAGGATTCGTTATTGTTAACTTTCCCCAAATTAATTATATTAACCGTAACATAAATCTTGTATCAAAGATAAATTTTATATATGGTCGACTGTAACTTTAATGTTAAACGTATAGTTTCTAAAATCGATATTGAAGCTATTTTTATATGAATGTCATTTCATTCACAAATAATTTTCAGTGCGTTATCTAACTGATGACTCTACGTGACGTCAAACTTAAAATTTCACCTTCACAAAGGTTTAGTTTGAATGAGCATTGATTTCTTTGCCTTTGACTGAATAGAATTTCTTTATAGCTTTGGTCATTTGGGCTTCGAATACATTCTACCTGTTGACCTTTCTGATTCCGTTTTTCAAAGGTTTGACACTATTTTTGTGTATATTAAGAAAGTTATTAAAACAAAAAGTAGGATAGGTACGGAAAAGCACATAAGTATAGGAATTGTTTTTACATAATTAAAAAAATTCTCAAATATAATTATTTTAAATTTTGATGATGTATTTGTCGCTCCTAGATACGAGTTTTGTATGAAATATTAATTATTTTTATAATTTTAATCGCGTTTATTTACACTTATTTACACGATGTTTATTATACTAGTGTTAGTCACGCAAATACGCATACCTATTATTGTAAAAAAAGTACCAAATACTTAATAACAAAATTCTTTTTGAAATCAGTAAACTTTTATTACAAGAAGGAGTTCTTCTAAAGTTGACAACTCTAATTATATCCATACTACAAGTACAATTCTATTTAAAAAAAAAATTGTTCAATTCGTTTCTTTAATTAAATAAATGGATATTATAATACCTTAAAAATTGTAATACCCACAATCGCCAGTAGTATGAAAAATCTGATATTTTTTTTTAATTCAGTGTTGCTCCCATAGTAAAAGTTGTTTAGTATATTTAAACTATCCACCCCACGAACTCCTGGCATATAATAATATTATACCTTATATACTTTATCGCACACAGTAAACCATTGACATAGAAACAAATATAATTTTTTTAACAATAATGTGAAAAAAAAGTTTGCGTCAATTCCGTATTTGACTCTCTTTTTTGTCTTATTTTGGGTAGAGAATTGCTTACCTTGTCAACAAATTCACGCTATCGTCTATTAAAAAGCTTAACGTTCTTACAACATAAGTTAAATTTAATGGCTTTGACTGATTTAAATGTGCACTTTTTCATTGGTTGTTATGTATAGCATACGGAGTACTGGTTATTCCAGCATCTCGATGGCGAAGATACCATTGTCCAGTTGATATCACGACAATTGATAAGCATCTTTCGCAGTGGCTGGTCACGGGATGGGTGACCAAAAATTTATTATCTCGGCTTTGGGAGGCACTGCCTGTAGATACAGTAGTTAATACTCGCCAATCCGCACAGGTACCACGGGTGATAGCCCAATTTCCTTGATATATTCTATCCATAGATTTATGTATCAGCAGTGGGGATTTAATAGACTGGTGATCAGGCATTATTTGTCGAACAATGAAATGGACTTGAAGGGATCAATCAAACTCTGCAAGAGATCCCTCGCGCTAAGAAAAACAATAACATGCTAACAATAGCATTGTCAATTTCACGTGTGTCCTAAAACAATATAATTAATGTTTCAACATTTTTGTGAAGTGCCTAGTCACATTATGCTAACAAAGGCATAAATTTATTTTGTATCTATTTCACGATCAAATAAAATAGTGATGGCGTCGATAATAGATATTTTTTTCAAATAACTCACTCAGGCTATGAGTTACGGTTTTTTGAAAAGTTGACTTTCTGTCATTGATTCTTCTTTTTCTTCTTTTATTAATGGATTATCTGCGCATTTCGCACTATTCTGCCAATGTCAAGTGAATAAATTAATTTGTACAAGTAAAATGAAAATGAAATTAATAAAAGATTGGGATGTGGTTTCCTGTCATTGCTTGGATTGTAGCTTCATCGGTGACATACCCTCGCATTAACGTCATGGTGACGTATTTTGATGTTTACATATTTCAGTAGATGGCGATAGTGGTGAGGGAGATAAAAAGAAGTTAACATATTTTTACATTGAAATTTCTTTGGGATATAACGTATCTTAAAAATAGTGATAGATAAGTGACTTCTATTTTATTTATCCATGAAAATAAAAACAACGCCATCTATTGGCATTAAAAATAGCGTCACAAAAGCAATGTGATTTACTCATTCATTTCGACTGCCAAAAGATGGTGTTTATGTTTGAATTTAACTGTATGTTATCAGTATCCTTCATACTTTAAAAACATAAATATTTGAATTGTTTAATTTGATACATCTATTATTGATATAACATTCTCGTGTCTCAGTTTTAGTTACCATACTCTCCGAAATGACTTGACCGATTATAATGAAATTTAGATTATGTTCAATGAGTCTGAAAATTGGTTTTCTTTTTTTATCCACTAAAAGTATCGAAAAATATCCAGCGATTAGTAATCTCAAAAGTGACTGATTCAAGAAAATGCTATTGCATTCGGGCGCCTATCATTTAATTTATAACCTTCAGCAAACCTCCACCCGACTTTAATAACATTTTTCATTTTTCACTTTTTTTAAGTTTGACGTCGGTATCTATTTTGTTCTAAGTTTCTATTTCATGCTTTTAAGTGATATTGATAATTTTTATATACTAAATAGGTAACGCTAAAAATATTTTTCTGAAAACCTAGAACCTTTTCTTAAATCTGACAAATACAATGCTGAAAACCGCATCAAAATCGGTTCGGCCAAACGCGAGATAATCGATCACAGGTCAAACTGAGAACCTCCTTCTTTGAAACCACATTAAACGGCTGCACGTCAGACTACACCTATACGCAGTTTTTCTGCAGAAAAATGTTCTATAATTGATGTAAGCCTTACGTATCTACAACATTCGATAATGGGTATTGATCCAAAGTATTAAGTGATCGTTAAATAAAAATTCAACGACTATATTTATAATAAAACACGTGCAAACTCCAAAATATTTATTCATATCCTATGTGTCATTGTGATGCTCTGATATGCCAATTTTCGACAAGATTATTCCAATATGTCCACTGTAATTTTAATCTCGTGCGTACACCGCTGTCAAGAGATATCTTTTCGTACGCATTTTAATATCATATTAACGTTGGCATTGATTTATTCACATTTTATTCAATTTATCCGCTGATAAAATGTGTCAAATCTTTGCCAATTTGTTATCTATACCTACATTGTTTTTTTTTTTGGGAAAATACTTCAACTTCTTCTTCCGTAAACATGAGAGCTGTGTTTATAGAAATCCAAACTGAGTATACGAAAAGAAACTGAAAAAAAGTTTGAAAAATTACCATCTTACTCTCCCGGTTTATATAATATAGCCTGCTGATACACGGACAGACTGACAGACGGACGGACCGAGAGCGGAGTATTAGTAATACGGTTTCCGTTTTTACCTTTTGGATGCGGAACACTAAAAATAAAATAGTAGAGCAGCGATTTAGAAAAAAAATGTGACATGGTGTGAAACAGATATAATTCATTTTTTTTTTGTTTCCCCTTACTTCGCCCGCTTAAATTATAGACTATATCAGCCGCATATGATGTAGCTTCTCGTAGGTAAAGGAATTTTTGAAATCGGTCCAGAGGAGAACCGATTCAAACACACAAACATTTCCACTTTATAATATTAGTATAGATATATAAACAAAGAATAGAAACACGAAAATTACTGAATATCTTTCAAGCTAATCAACCCAGTATATTTAAGACGACTAACTAAATAATACATAACACGAGTTAATTAAATGGTGCGTGTTTT